CATGAGGCACAACAGATTAAGATCTGTGGGTATAAATAGTGCAAATATTAACAGTAGTGCTATTGGAATGAGCTTATGGAGCAGTTAAAGTGATGAGTGCGTAACAGTCCCTGAGAAGGTCAGAGTTCAGTATTGGGGGAGTGGGGATCAGGAACCCGTGTATGGGTCCAAAACTCTGTGTGTGGGGGGGGCAGAAGGGGAGAGGGGGGGCAAAGTAGGGAGAGAGTTCAGCGTCCTGACAGCCTGGTGGATGAAGCTGTCCCCCAGTCTGCTGGCTGTTCAGCAGCCTGATGGCCCGGTGAAGAAACTGTCTCAGAACCGGCTGATTCTGGACTTTATGCTTCTGTACCTCCTCCCAGCTGTGAGAACAGACAGTGGCAGTTCATACATGAACAGCATTACAATGCAATGCAATTAAAGCTACAGATGTGTTTGTTTGTTTAGTCCTGCACCTCTTCGTCCCTCCTCATGTGTCCCTCCCCTGCTTGAGATGAGATACAAGATATACAGGATCATATTAAACAATACAAACAATATCGCTGGCCTATATACAGCGTTGAGCAAAATACTTAGAAAAAGTAGTGATGGCTGAATCCTGAATATTTTGTCCTAAATGTACTCAAATCAGTATATAGAAATGTAACATATTCAGAATACACATACATTAGAGTACTACATGGGAAAAACTCTGCTTTCATTTTTATTTAATCCACACTGTTATTCAGCGTTTTTAACTGTTCTGTTAATATGTTTCATGAAAAATTCAATACTCAAATAAATATAAAAATGATTATAAAATTCTCAAGATTAATTTGGCTCTCATTGCCTGGTTTAGTCCACTGCCCTGAGATTAATAACTGATCACATTGATTTATCAGTCTACTCAGGCTTTAGCAGAGCTCAGTAACGCTGAGATTAATAACCGATCACATTGATTTATCAGTCTACTCAGGCTTTAGCAGAGCTCAGTAACGCTGAGATTAATAACCGATCACATTGATTTATCAGTCTACTCAGGCTTTAGCAGAGCTCAGTAACGCTGAGATTAATAACCGATCACGTTGATTTATCAGTCTACTCAGGCTTTAGCAGAGCTCAGTAACACTGAGATTAATAACCGATCACATTGATTTATCAGTCTACTCAGTCTTTAGCAGAGCTCAGTAACACACTAACAAAAACAGCCTGTTTAATTAAGCAAATTAGAAATCAGTTATGGCTGTTTATGGTACCTAAAACCACAATAATGTCATAAGCTGACCTCAAGGGAAAGAAATAAAACAATAAAGGTGTTTGCTCTTAAAAAGATGGTTCTTCAAGGATTCTTTAGTTCTATATAGCACCAAAAAGGGTTCTTCTATTGTTACGATGTCAAGCTTGTATATAACAGAAGAACTCTTTTTGGTGCTTTCAAAAGGGTCCTGTATAGACCCATTGTCCATCCATCTGAAGAACTATTTTACCACGCAGCATGCACACGGTTCTTTGACTGTTCATGGTTCTAAACAGAAGCATTGTCTTTACTAAAGAACCCTTGGAGAACCGTCTTGTGTAAGAGCGCGGAAAGGTCATGGGGTCAGTGAGCATGTGACTTCGAGCTTGTCTCTGCGTGTTTATCTCCTCACAGCCCGGGCCGGGCCGAGTCGGGCTGGGATGAGCTCAAACGGATAGAATGACGTCAGTTCATGTGAACGAGTGAAGAACTATAGAACAACCTAAGAGCAAACACACTGCAGCTGAGTACACTGAGCTCACTCACTCACACCAACCACAGCGTCCGCAGCTGCACCAGACGCTGCTTTGCAGTGATTTAATGCCACTCACGTTATTCAGGAGCTCTAAATGGTTCATATATTGTGCTGTATTTTTACATTAACCCTCTGGATTCTGAGGTCATTCTTTTCTAGATTTGTTCATCTCTTCTTAAACTCTCCTCTAAAGTCTCTTCATATATCATGATCCTCATATGTTTCATATCTAAATGCTCCGTTATCTTCATCACTACTTTCCAAAACCGCTGCAGCAGCTTCAGCAGCTGTAAACTCTCTGCAGGCCGTTTTACATGAGTCTCCGATGTGGACTGAATGAAGAATGAAGGGTTTCCGGCGTGATGGTCAGTGCTTAGTGATTTCCTGAGTGTTCCATTGGTCAGTTTCACACAGAATGTAGACGGACACACCAATCCACCGGTTCCACACGGTGATAGGCAGATGGCGTGTATCTCAGCCCCTCTTCATAGGCTCATAACTCCGGATGTGAGTCTCATATGATCTCGTGATAAGATGGAATGGAAAGGGCGACTCTACAGATTCAGGAAGTGTTTGAACTGGATTTCTAGGAGCCTAGAGGGTTAAGAATAGTAACGCTTCACATGGACATGCTAAATTTATTTTTTTTTCATTTCAGTAGCTATTTTTATGTTTTTGTTCAGACTAGCAGTGAGAATTACAGCTCTGAACTTGTGACTGTGTTGAATATTTCAGGCTAAACTGTCTGCTGTGCTACTTTAGACCTTCTAATGTCAGTTTCTGAGCAGTTAATCATGACTTTTCTGTGAATATTGCAAAAAAAAACAAAAAAAAATCGCAAATGTTTATTTTCTGTGACGTTATTTTTGACGTCAAAGATGGAGAACAACACATTATCAAAGAGAATAAAAGCAAATTTGTTTGGTCTTGACTCTTCTGAAGACTTCAGTGATGTTGGGTGGTGGATCATTCTCAGCACTGCAGTAACACTGACGTGGTGGTGGTGTGTTAGTGTGTGTTGTGCTGGTCTGAGTGGATCAGACACAGCAGTGCTGCTGGAGTTTATAAACACCTCAGTGTTGCTGCCGGACTGAGAACAGTCCACCAACCGAAAACATCCAGCGAACAGCGTCCTGTGGGCAGCGTCCTGTGACCACTGATGAAGGACTAGAGGATGACCAACACAAACTGTGCAGCAGCAGATGAGCTATCGTCTCTGACTTTACATCTACAAGGTGGAACGACAAGGTAGGAGTGTCTAAAAGAGTGGACAGTGAGTGGACACAGTGTTTAAAAACTCCAGCAGCACTGCTGTGTCTGATCCACTCGCACCAGCACAACACACACTAACACACCACCACCACGTCAGTGTTACTGCAGTGCTGAGAATGACCCACCACCCAAATAGTACCTGCTCTGTGAGGGTCCATGGGGGTCCTGACCACTAAGGAACAGGGTAACAAAGTATGCAGAGAAACAGATGGACTACAGTCTGTAACTGTAGAACTACAGAGTGAAACTATACGGTCAGTGGAGCTGATAAAGTGGATGATGAGTGTATAATACTGTGATAAGAATTTTTCATGACACATGATATTTATTTTTTCAGACATCTGATCAGCTGGAAGAGAGAATAAAGATCCAGCAGAGCTACATTTAAAACATACTATCAAAAACTGAACACAGTGATTTTCATTCAGTATTTGTCACTAAATCCAGTTAAACTGACTAATGTTACCCTCTTTATAATGAAACATGCAGCTGGTCAGTTTCTACCAGCACTGACGATAAACACCATGTGATCAAAAAAGCGTACTGTACAGTATTATAACATAATTTATCATGATAACGATATATATTGTTATATGGCCCAGCCTTTGTTTAGATACAAGGATGTGGTTTTAACGTTAAGGCTGATTGGTGTACAGATACGAAAAATGACTTCATGCACATAAAAAACTGTTTTAAAACACCTTTTTTCTTCCTGCATTAAAAAATTACACACTATGTTAATAATGAATTTTAAATTCATATATTTCATCATGAAAACATTTATTTGCAGGTTTCTGTTTCTAAAATAAGGCACAGAGTGCTGTCGTCTCTTTTCTCTTATATCTTGAAAGATTACTCCTTAAATCTGTTTGTAATAACTAATTAATTACCTTTTTATTACCTTTTGGAGAATATAGTATGCCTTTTCATTAGAGGCGATGTTTTGTACTGCATATTTTGATACATTGAATTTGCAATTAAAGTTTAACTTTTAATAATAATAATAATATTAATAATATTAATAATAATCTTTATTTATAGATGACCTTTTAAACATTAAAAATGCAGCTATAAATGCTTCACAATACAAAGTAAAAACACCAGAGAAAGAAGAGAAAAAAAGATAATCAAAAATAAAATAAGTAATAAAAATGCAATAAATAAAAGCAATAGCAGAAAAGTGGATATATTAATAATAATTAAAATTAAAATGCACAAGATAAATGTATATCGCTGCTTTTGGAACAAAACCTCGTATCTCCATTTTTTTCAGTTTTTGACATAATTTGAAAATACCTGCTGTTCTTTACATTGTGTGTAAATTTCATGATAAACAAAAAGAAACGACCCAGAATGACTTGGAAAAAATTCTGGTTCCACTGACTCACATTAAAAGTACAGTATGTTTTTTCCTTCTCCTGTAAAGTTGTGATTTTGGAGATACGAGGTTTTGACAGTAAAAGTAATATTCCAGTAAACACATTTCCGTCTTCAGGATCGCTGCCTCACTCCCTCAGTCTGGGTTTAGTGCTGCTTGTTTCGCTGCTGTGCTCCTCTCTCCTCAGCAGGTGGCGCCTCACCAGCAAACTCTGCTCAGAAGTCCTTTAATGTCCATTTTCTCCATGCAGCCCTTCTGGAAGCCTGAGAGATGTTCATTACTCAGGACAGAGGCTGTCAGTGTCCCTCTCGGTGCTCGGATTAATCAGATTAGTGGAATCTAAATGCAGATCTGAGTGCAGATGCTGGAGATCAAACATCTGAAACTCTGATTTTCTGAATGGACTCTGCTGGCGGAGGAGTGACGTCATTGGCGGTCACAGACCTTATCACAGAGCGCACCAGAGGGGCGGCTGCCGATTGGCCGGCGGCTCCGTCTCCGGCGGCTGATTGGCCGACGGCGGATAATTAAACACCTACACAGTCAATAGCTGAAGCCCAGCGTATATAGGCTTCAGCACTACAGCTGCACTCAACAGGACCGAGAGCCGCTCTGCAGAACAGGAGAACAGGAGAACCGAAGAACAGAAGAACAGAACTCTGAGTTTGGGCTGATATTTACCCGTCTGTTTGTGCCGGAAGACTCCACGCTTCCACGGTAAGGACACACTTCTGACAGGTTCCTCTGACAGGCGGCAGATTCACAGTGAGGATGATTCACTTCAGAATTCACCTGGAGCTGAAACACAGAGCAGATCAGTAAACCGTAAAATAATAATCTGATTATTTTAACTCTGAAACAGCCAGAAACACATTAATATTCAGACTGAACTAAACTGTAAAAGACAGGAGAGCAGGATGGAACAGAGAGAGAGAGAGAGAGAGAGAGAGAGAGAGTGAGAGAGAAAGAGAGAGAGAGCAGGAAGAGAAAAGTGGGGGAGATATAGTAAGTGAGAGAGTGAACCAGAGAATGAAGAAAAAGAGCAAAAGAAAAGTGACAGAAAGAGTGAGAAAGAGAAAAAGAGTGTGAGAGGAAGGAGAAATATGAGAGAAAAGAGAAAGAGAAGAGAAAGCGTGGGAGACAGAGGTAAGTGAGGGAGAGAAGATAAAAAACAGAAAAAGAGCAAAAGAGCAAAAGAGAGATATATAGTGAGAAGAAAGAATGGAAGAAAAAGAGAAAGAAGGGGAGAGTGAAGAGAAATAGAGAAGTGAAAGGGAGTGATAAGAGAAAAAGAGATACAGAGAGAGAACAAAAAAGAAACAGTGGGAGATAAAGGTAAGGGAGAAAGAGACAAAAAGAGAGTGAGTGACAGAGAAAGAAGATAAAAATAGAGAACGAAATGAAAGAAAGAGAAACGAGAGAAAGTGAGAGAGAGCAAGAGAAATAAAGAGTGAGAAGAGAGAACAGAAGAAAAAGAAAAACAAGAGCAAGAGAGAGAAGAGAATAGAGTGAAAGAGAAAGAAGAGAAAGAGAGAGAGCCGAAAGAGAAAGCGTGGGAGAGCAAAAAAGAAAGATAAATGAGAGACTGAGAGAGAAAGAAAGAGAAGACAAGCGAGAGAGAGAAAAAGTGTGAGAAAGGAGAGAAAGAAAAGAGTGAGAGAGAAAGAAAATAAGTGAGAAGAGAGAATGGAAAAAAGAGAGAAAGAAGAGAGAGAAGAGAAATAAAGTGAGAAGAGATACACAAGAGAGAGAAAGAGTGAGAGAGAAAGAAGAGAAGAGAAAGAAAGATCAGAGACAAAGGAAGCGAGAAGGGAGAGAGCAAAAAAAAGTGTGGGAGAGAGAGAAAAGAGAGCGAGAGTGAGCAGGAAAAGAGTGGGAGATAGAGGTAGATGGGGAAGAATGAGCGAGAGAGAGAAAAAAACTGAAAAAGTAAGAGAGAAAGAGAAACGAGAGAGAAAGAGATGTAAACAGTGAGAAGAAAGAAAACGAAAAAGAGAAAAGGTCACGAAGGGTCATCAGAGTGGGAGAAAGCCGGGGGTCTTTAATGTACGGGGTCAGCCTGTCCCTCATCACACTGATGAAGAGGGCGTCTCTCTCTCTCTCTCTCTCTCTCTCTCTCTCTCTCTGTGTGTGTGTGTGTGTGTGTGTGTGTGTGTGTTTTCCTGTAACGCTTAATTTAATTTATACACACACACACTCACTCTCCATCAGCTCTGACACTCAGCTTTATGAGATAGATAGAGAGAGAGAGACAGATCATAGAGAGAGAGAGAAAAAAGAGAAAAGAGATAAAAAGAGACAGTAGAGAAAGAGAGACAGTGCAGAGGGAGACAGAGGGAGAGAGAGACAGAAAGACAGATAGAGAACAGAGAGAGTAGAGAGCTAGAGAGCGATAGAAAGAGGAATGAGCGAGAGAGAGAGAGAGAAATAAAGAGAAAGAAAAGTGTAAGAGAAGGATGAATGAGAGAGTGAGACAGAAGGAAAAGAAGTACTGAGAGAGTGAGGGAGACAGAAAGAGAAAGAGGAGGAAGAGAGAGATAAAGAAAGGGAGAGAAAGAGAAGAGAAAGAGAGCAGAGGGTGATAGAGAGTAGAGAGAGAGCAGAGAGCTAGAGAGAGAGATAGAAAGAAGGAGGAATATGAGAGATAGAAAGAAAGAGGAATATGAGAGAGAGATAGAAAGAAAGAAAGAAAGAAAGAAAGAAAGAAAGAAAGAAAAGTATGAGAGAAAGATGAATGAGAGAGATAGAAGGAGAAGAACTGAGAAAGAGAAGTGAGAGAAAAAGAGGAGTAAGAGAGAGAAGGAGGAGGAAGAGAGAGATTTAGAAAGAGAGAGAGAGAGAGAGAGAGAGAGAGAGAGAGAGATGTCTGGAGTTTTCTGTGAGAATTATGAAAGTCCTCATATGGAGAATGAAATTTATGAGAAATATAATTTGTTGTTATTTAAAACCTCCGTTTTCATTTTTGTATTTTTTCTGTCTCATTTTTAAAAATCCAGCTGTTTGTAACATTGTGTTAATATTTCATCACGACTGGACGAATAGAAACGATCTAGAATTACTAATAATTAATAATGAAAAACTCTTACATTAACATTCAATAAAGCTCTGAATGCTGTTCCTCTATTTTGGAGATGTTTTGTTCCGACAGCGATGTTTTCCTTTGTTTGTTTGTTTGTTTGTTTGTTTTTTTATTGCTGGCTAAAATGTGTTTCTGTTGTAGGGAATCATGTTCATGGTGAAAGTCTCCGCCCTCCTCGCCGCTTACTTCCTGCTCATCTCCCAAATGTACAGCTCCCACGCAGCACCCAGGTCAGAATTACTCCAGCAAACACTCACTAAACCAGTCAGGAACCCTCAGGGCGTTCTAGATACAACAGCTTCTGTGAAAATAAAAACACGTCTGTAATTTTTACTGCATGTTTATTTAATAAAGTCATCAAGCCTGTTTATTTAAACTCGGTAAGCATTGCAGTTATGCTTGTATTTCATTGTTCACATTTCGTTGAAAATAAAAGGGTTAAAATCTTAAACTGACCAACAGAAAATCATCCAATCAGGATTGTTCTCTCTGTGGTATCTAGGCAGATACAGCCGAGCTGCTCTCCCATTGGTTAGGACTTCAGGAGCTGGACTGAAGGCCTTATATATTAGATTAACTACCAACATAATCAGGAAGTGACAGAGGAATCAACCAATAACGCTCTGATTTACAATGAAGGGGTGAGAAAAAACATCACTCTAGTCCTTCTGGAGGTTCTAGATACTGTGAATACATAGTCATAGTCTAAGTCAGGAGCCGCAACCCAAACGTTAAGAAGAGCCATTTTGTCCTTTTAACAAAAATCAAACCACCTTGGGAGCCACAACATTTTATGACCATTCGATTGAAGTAACGTTTTACCATCATGGCTGTAAATGTGTCTCAGTCTGTGCTGATGTGCTAGTATAGGATAAAAATATAATATAAATGAAAACACAGACTCACTTTGCTCTGCTTTAATCTTTAGCTCAGCTACAGCTGCTTTTCTCGCATCTCCAGCAGGAAACTTTTCCACAAAAGAAGAACAGTTTCTTGTAAAATGTCTCCAACATTCGACTTTTTACGAGACTGAAGTCGTTTCTCATTCTCCAGCTTCTTGTTCAAATTTTTCTGTTCCACCTTAAATGGTGCCTGAGGCACCGAATGTAGCTGCTGCACCATTTAGGGTGGAATGAGAAAATTTGAACGAGAAGCTGGAGAATGAGAAACGACTTCAGCTTCACGACTTTTTAGTGTTTGAGTTTCTCACTGCAGATTAAACGTATCAGGAAACCAGCTGGAGTGATTATAAACACTAATAAGTCCATTCATCTCCAAATTATCGATGTTCATCTTAAATCTCTCTCTTTGCTGTTTCGTTAGCTACTAGCTAGGTGAGACTGTTGTCTGTGTTGCTATGGTGACCAGCAGTCGGCGCTGATCTTCAGGGTTAAAGAGTGAATTAGCAGTTCTACATTAACTCCAGAGTTTAAGACCATTTATTGTTAAACTGCATTTGTTAAACTATTTTACTGCAAAGGAGGATTAGAAAAGAGCTAGGATTAGGAAAGAGCTGCTTGTTGCCGAACCAGTGTTCCGGTTGGCTGTCAGGAATGTAAAACAGCGGCGGCAGCTCTACGTCAGGACTCTTTGCTGAAAGACTCACGGTGAAGGCCGTTACACACTGAATGCAATTTTTTCGTACAATTAAATTAAATTAAGCAAATTAATTTGAGCACATGTATGACCGTATCTTGTAGACCAAAGGCAATTTTTTAGACAGCAAAAAAGCACCATTATTTTAATCACCCTTTGTTTGATTTTTGCGACAAAAACTCACAGCTACCTCTGCTGTTGGCATGACAACAACCAAGATGACAGAGCAGCTATGCTCCAGCAAACAGAACTTTTCACAAAGGATCATCTCCAAAAGCAGCTCAAACCGAGTGAAATGTGGAAGAACTCAGTGTTTCAGCTTCTGAATGAAGTGATGAAGCTTTTCATGCTGCTCACTTTTCCTAAATGGACAGCAACTCATTGTCACCTGTCCTGCTGGGAGCAAAGAATCAGATCTTATTCACACTGAAAGACCTTCAGCTCCTGGATGAGGAGGAACTCCCCGTTCTCTTTTCACAGTGGAGCATCCTGCACAGCCACAGATATTGTTGTTATATATTCCGCCGATATATTTTTAAATATATATTTTGCACATAAAAAATGATATAAAAAACTTGAAATTACAAAAATCGTGTTGCATCCTGTGTGTAGTTTTGATGTGAAAAAATCACATCTGAATATTTTTAAATTTTCGTGTGTAACGGTCTTTAAGCTGATGCATACAAACTCAAATATATGTTAATGTCTTTTACAAGCTTCAAATCTCCAGTTTAATCTAAAAAACTGTCCATGTAAATTGCCGTTAGCCCAGCACTGACATACTACTAGAATCCCATAGGAGCGCTAGCAGAAATTAACATTATCAAATAGGTGTTTTGACTTTTATGGCCCAAACTGACAGTCTAGCTCTAATAATCATGGTTTAATTGTTCAATTATAACTGTCCAACTATAGGAAATGAAACAATAACGATTTACCTCTCAGATGTAATTTATTATAGCGGTTGGGAACTGACTGGACTTCTGCATGGATTTATTTTCTCAGATTATTACAGTCTATTGGGTTCAGAGGTTTTACTACAATCAGTGCTGTTCTCATTATCAAAGTTACATAAATGTTCATTGATGCTTTATTTACGTTTTATTTATTTACCTGATTTTAATTTATTGGTGACTGAAGTATGACAAAAATGACATTACATGATGAATAATCTAATCATAGACACATGCAGTGTCTAAAGTCATATCTGCAACTGCCAAAAAAGCTCAACAAGGAAACGCACGACAATAATGCTAATTTAGCTTTAGCGCCCCTGTGCAATTTTCTGTTCCGTTAGCACAAAGCTAGCAGTGTTGTATCACTTTTGATCCCTGAAACTCGTAACAGGCATTCAGGAACACTCTTTACACTGTACTGAACACTGCACTGAAAACCTGCCTCAGAATACTGAGGAAGCTGTTAGCCTGTTAGCTATCTCGCTAAAACAATAACAATCTCTGTACTAGCCACTTTTAGCGCAAGCAGTGTGTTCACACTGGGGAATGAAGTGAGATTAGACGAGAATGAGACGTCTTTGTATTTTAATAACTGATATTATTTGTTTGCTTTTTATTTTATGCAGGACAACATATTAAAATGTTATGAACTGGTTTGTTATAATAATTTTAGCTTGCTAGCGTACGCTAACTGCCATTAAATACAAGTTATTCATTTTTCAGCGTCAGGAAAAAAAAACCAAAACATATTTAACAGAAAATGACTCAGCAGCTGAATCTACTCTCAGCTGTGTGAGTCAGTGAGTCAGTGAGTCACTCTGTACCTTTATTTCAGCTTCCATTCTGTTCAGGAGTCTCACTTTCAGCTCCTCAAAGAATCTGCACACCTCCAAAGTTCAGTCTTAGAAGCTGGTTGATGATTTTCTGAAGTAATCAAACCCATTCAGTGGTGTTGAGGTCTGGACTCTGGGGTGGTCAGTCCATTGTTCAGCTTCTTTGTTTGATGTGTCCGTCTCCTTTTCTCAGTGAGGTTCTTCTTGACAGCTACACATCCTTTCAGACCCACAGCGCTGAGTCGTCTTCTCACAGTGGAAGGATGGACAGAAACACCTGTGGATGTTTTCAGATCTGAAGCAGGAGGGCATTCTTTAAAAAGAGGGTTCTTCAAGGGTTCTTTAGGGAAGACATAGAACACATGAGCACTCAAAGAACCACTTGCATGATGAAATGGTTCTCCAGATTGACAGAGAATGTGTTGTATATGGTTCTATGCAACACCATAAAGGGTTCTGCTATCATTACGATGCCAGGTTTGTATACAACTGGAGAACGCTGTTTGGTGCTATATAGATCCACTGTCAAAAAGGTTCTATATAAAACCATGGATGTTCAAAGAACCACCTGCATGCTTAATTGGCTCTTTGCACGGTGAAATGGTTCTTCAGATTGATGGAGAATGTGTTGTATACAGTTTTAAAAAGGTTTCTATACAGCACCATAAACGGTTCTGCTATTGGTACGATGTCAAGCTTGAAACAAAAGAAGAATCCTTTTTGGTGCTATATAGAACCATTTTCACAAAGGTTCTATATAGAACCGTATACAACACATGCGCCGTCAAGCTGAAGAATAATTTCACCATGAAAAGAACCCTTTAATCATGCAAATGGTTCTTTGAGTGTTCATGGTTCTATATAGAACGACTGTCTTTGCTAAAGAACCCTTGAAGAACCATCTTTTATAAGAGTGAACATTAAAGTAAGAATGTTTTTTTCTTCTTATTTTAAATTTCATTATCTCAGAGATGTGAGGTTACGCTGAGGTTTATATATTCAGCATTGTGATGATCTGTAGTACAGAGGTCTGAGTGTGTGTGTGTGTGTGTGAGAGAGAGAGAGAGTGTGTGTGTGTGTGGAGAGAGAGAGTGTGTGTGTGTGAGAGAGAGAGTGTGCATGTGTGTGTGTGTGTGAGAGAGAGAGAGAGAGAGTGTGTGTGTGTGTGAGAGAGAGAGAGTGTGTGTGTGTGTGAGAGAGAGAGTGTGCATGTGTGTGTGTGTGTGAGAGAGAGAGAGAGAGTGTGTGTGAGAGAGAGAGAGAGTGTGTGTGTGAGAGAGAGAGAGAGTGTGTGTATGTGTGTGTGTGTGTGTGTGAGTGTGTGTGTGTGTGTGTGTGTGTGTGAGTGTGTGTGTGTGTGTGTAGGTGAGTGTGTGTGTGTGTGTGTGTGTGTGTGTGTGTGTGTGTGTGCGTGTGTGTGTGTGTGTGTGTGTGTGTGCTGTTACAGTAATTGAGTCAGTTGTAAGTGTGCAGTTGGCTGGAGTTCAGCCGCTCAGATCAGCTCCTCTTAGCAGACTGTTCTGATCTTGGCTCGGATCCGTCAGTCGGCCGTAAGAGTTTCAGTTCTGCTGGAGTTCTTAAAGTCCAGCCGATGGGTCAGTTTCCTGGTCAGGGATTCAGTCTGTTCTGAATGGAGGGTCTCTGTTCAGACTGTGTGTGTTCTCCTGCAGATCTGCTGGAGACTCTGCGACAGACACAGTGGTGCTCAGCGATTACGAAGCTCGACAGTTAATAAACGCAATCATTAAAGAGTTTGTGCAGATGACGGCGGAGGAAGTGGAGCAGAACGATGGGAACAGGTACACAGCCAGTCTGGCCTTCCCACTTCGGCTCTTTCTCTTTTCGATTCGTTCTGATTTTTGGTTATTTCTCTTTCTTATTTACTTTTGTTTTATTCATTTTGATGTTTGGCCCTTTTTGATCTATCATTTTCAGCTGTTTCTGATTTTTCGTTCTCTCTCATGATGTTTGTTTCTTTTTTCCTTTTTATATGTTTTATTTTCTTTTTGATTTTTTTTCCGGATGTTTGGTTGTTTCTGATTTTCTGAACTTTTGATTTTTGTTTTTTTTTGGTTCTTTTTTTTTCTTGTTTTCTTTATTTTGTTATTATTTTTTCTTTTGATCTCTCATTTTTGATTCCTTCTCATTTTTGGTTCTTTCTGATTTTTGGGTCGTTCTTGTTTTTGTTTTATCTTTATTTTTGTTTTTTTTCTGATGTTTATTTTTTGATCTCTCGTTTTTGGCTCTTTCTGATTTCTGATTTTTGTTTTTTGTTGTTTTTTTCAGATTTTTGGTTCTTTATGATTTATTATTTTTTCTGATTTCTGATTTTTGGCGCTTTCTAATTTTTGCTTCTTTCTGATTTTTGATCATTTTTTTCTGATTTTTTTTTTGCTTCATTCTAATTTTCAATTCTTTCTGACTTTCTTATTTGATAAATTCTTTCTGATTTCTACCCAACAGTCTATTTTATGCTCTTGCATTACCCAAGGTTAAATTTGACCCATCTAAATATCAAGCGTAATTTGTCTTAGAGCACAGAGAACGTGTTCCACCATGTCTGATAAACACAAAAACCTACAGTTTAATCTACTCTAAGCACAGTCAGAATTGCAGTGACGCCTGTGGGAATTAGAGCAGTGAGGTATGTGATTTAAACAGCGCTTTATAACATGGTCCCAGTAGAAACACATTTCAGTTCTAATAACCTCCATTAAAGGATCCCAGTCTCTCTGCATGAGTGAGTTTTACTTTCTTTAGTTATGGAATGTAAACAATAAGCTTTCTGCTTGCCACAGAGTTTGAAGGGAATGCCAGGAAAGGCGACTAAAGCATGAAAACCTCCTATCAGACGGAATGACTGCATGATAACCTCAGTGCTCTGGTTGTGTGGGAACTAATGCTGGAGAAGAGCATGTTATTCACCCTCAGCATGCTGTGTATGATCTACAGGACTGAATGAATGCAGAGACTTCAACCCCTTAAACTGCAGACTCATTATTCACTTACAATAATCCCATAATGAGAAATATGACATACATTCACGAGATTTAAGATGCTTTAACCTCTGAAAATTTTTCAGTGTTCTAAGTTAAAAAAAGGATTTCCACTGATTTTTTCAAAATTCTACCATAATTGTGTGTGAGATGTAATCAGAGAGATTCAGAGCGGTTTGGTGTGAAATGGTTCAGATGTCTTTATAGTGGTGATGATAGGAACCAGGGGTCGCCATGACTACAACACAAATATAGACATTTTATTTACTATCCAGAACCACCAGTGAACCTACATGAGTCTTCTGAGTTTATATGGAATGTTGATGATGGAAAATAGTGGAAAATCTGAAATAATAAGTTTTCTTTGGGGACTATTTTGCCTCAAAGCACTCTGCATGTATCCCTCCACCATGAATGGAGTTTAAGTTCTCTAAACTATCATAAAACAGTGTCTCAGTCATCAGGCAGTGAATTCATAACCATTTACTGTAGGAACTTTCTGTGAGGGAGCTTTTAGAGGTGGACGTCTGGTTCCTGTCACATCTGGTTTACGTCTGAAGAAATTTTTAAAAATCAGTGGAATTCCCCTTTAATTAGTTATTAAAGTGAGGAAAAGAATGAAAGACTTAAGCTTTGCTTTCTATTGTACCATCTACTGTACACAATGATGTCATTATGGAGAGTTTAAGGGGTTAAATGCATGTAGACAGAAAAGAGTGTACGAGTGAGAAAGAGAGAGAGAGAGTGAGAGAGAGAGAGAGAGAGAGAGCTACAATCTTAAAAAAGATGGTCCTTCTAGGGTTCTTTAGAAAAATAGGTTCTATATAGAACTCAAAGAACCCTTTGCATGATTAAATTGTCCTTTGCATGGTGAAATGGTTCCTCACGTTGATGGAGAATGTGCTGTATATGGTCCTGTGTAGCACCAAAAAGCGTAGTTCTGTTGTAGCAGAACACATTTATATATTACTTCTATATAGAACCATATACAACACATTTCCCATCAATGTGAAGAACCGTTTCACCATGCAAAGAACCATTTAAGCATACAAAGGATATAGAAGCATTTTCTTTACTAGAGAACCCTTGGAGAACCGTGTTGTGTAAGAGTGCGGAGAGGGCATGGGGTCAGTGTGCATGTGACTTTGAGCTTGTCTCTGCATGTTTATCTCCTCACAGCCCGGGCCGAACTCTAACCAAACGCTGCTCCAGTCTCAGCACCTGTGTGCTCGGGAAGCTCTCGCAGGAACTGCACAAGTTACAGACTTTCCCACGGACAGACGTGGGCGCGGGCACCCCGGGCAAGAAACGCAGCCTGCCTGGCCCCGAGCGCCATGCCAGCTATGGAGACGCATTCGATGCCATCTAACCCCCCCGTCCCCCTGTCCCCCTCCCACCTCCCCCTTTATTATCCCCCGATCGCGTTTGCATGTGGATTCTGCCTGCTTGACTGACCTTCCAGAAACGGCCGCGACATCTTCCCTCTTATTTTCATTCAGTTCTCTCTGTTCAGTCCCTTTTAGCCGAGAATGAACTGCTACTTTTCAGTACTGAATTCGATCCGTTCTAAATAACATCCAATAACAACAACAGGAGAATACGTTCAGTTAAAGATCCGTTTGGAAAGTGCACGTTTCCAAAAACTTAGCAGGAAAACAGGCACCATGACAATCACTCCGGAATGATGTCACTATCAGGGCAGTTACCTGTGTTTTTAGTTTAATAAACATATTTTTGTATCAGGAAGCTGCTTTTCCTTCATCACTGAACTCTCAAACTTCACACTAATGTCTTCTTTTACAGTCCTCTAAGTTCTATCTATTAACAAACTTCAAAGTACTAGATAATTAGGGTTCAAACTCTGGCGGAGGTCTTGAGGGTCTTATGGAGCTCATGGTGTAGAGTCTGAGCCGTATAGTGACAAATACTATATGATTTTTCCCTCACATTTAAAAAAGATGGTTCTTCAAGGGTTCTTTAGTAATCCAGGACTATGACCACTCAAAGAACGCTTTACATGTTTAAAGGGTTTTTGCATCATGAAATGGTTCTTCAGATTGGGGTATAATGTGTTGTATATGGTTCTCTATAGCACCAAAAAAGGTTCTTTCATTATTATAAGCTTGTATTGTAATAATAGCAGAACCCTTTTGGTGCTATATAGAACCCTTTTCAAAAAAGTTCTATATAGAACCATCACTCTAAATAGCCATTTCACCATGCAAAGAACCCTTTCATCCTCTTTCATGGTTCTGTACAGAACCATTTTCTTTGCAAAATAACCCTTGAAGAACCATCTTTTTTAAGAGTGCAGCATTTTTTACAGCTATTACCACATTTTTAAAAAAAGATAGTTCTTCAAGGGTTCTTCAGTGAAGCAAAATGGTTCTATATAGAACCATGAACACTCAAAAAAATATTTGCACACTTAAATGGTTCTCTGCATGGTGAAATGGTTCAACAGATTGATGGAGAATGTGTCGTATATGGTTCTATATAGAATCTTTTAGAAAAGGGTTGTATATAGTACCAAAAAGGGTTCTTATATTGTGACAAGCTTGACATCATAGCAATTGAAGAACCCTTCTTGATGCTATAGAACCACATTCTCTATCAATCTGAAGAACAATTTCACAAATACAATAAAATACAAAGCTATATAGACAATAAACAGTCGTATGCAAAAGCGCAAACAACCCCAGTCAAATTCCATGTTTTTTTGATTTTTAATTGTGAAATTGACATATAATATAATAACACATGCCGTTTTTTCTGCATTTTAATGCACAAATTTTTTATTATTATTATTTAGGTTAAAAAAATACAAATGAAATATAAAATGCGCCATAACTTTTGCACAGATCACCTTTTATGTTTTATTGTTCCCAGTATGTTAAATTCAGTAAATAAGCAGTAATTGTTCATTAATATGTCCAGCAGTGTGTCTCTGTAGAGGACGTGAGAGTCATTCAGAGAATTAAGAACACTGTGGAATCTGACCGGGGGTGCCAAAACTTTTGCAAACGTCCGTACATACCATATAAGACTCTTTGTACGTTGTTTGTGTACATTTTTTCACATCATGTAGATGCCTGGAACCTTTTACCTACAGTATTTACACAGCTTGTACTCCACACTCACTAGTTAATATCTAGAACCCATGGACAAGTTGGGGGTGCTGAAACTCTAAGCAGCATATCTGTGATGTACACAGTGATGTCACACTAAAGGATCTGCTTTTTTACAGTGTGGGTTCCTGCAGTCCCCCCTCAGCGCTCCCACCTCCCGCGTCCCTGAGAGAACCTGTGTGGTGTGTTTCGGTGTAATTCAGGCTGTGTTCAGACTGCAGGCGAATCAGGTTTCTTTCTCAAATCAGATCTTTTGAGTCGACTGTCCGCCCTGTTATCTGTAACTGATCAGATCAGACTTTGAGTGTCCAGACATCACCAGTCTGCATGAGTCGCCGTGGTAATGATGTAGGCGTCAGTAACTGTAGCTATGCTGGTGACGCGGATTTCAAACGCAGATGCAGGAGAGATGGAGGAGCATCATCTCGCCCTCCAAACTCTTCAGAATTCTTCAGAAAGCTCTTCTTGAATCCCAGCACTTCGTCACTCTGGATTTGGCATTGTCATTGCGAGTGACGCAAAAGACACTTTGAAATCCGAGACGCATCTGTAAAAATCCGTGGAGTGACGTGATTTGGATCCGATTTGCAAAAAAAAAGTTTTTTTGCTCTCCAGTCTGTCAAAAATCAATGTGGATAAATCTGGATTCGCAAAAAACCGAATTTGAGCTGGCAGTCTGAACACGGCCTTAGTCAGAGCTTTTACTCATCATCTTACCCAAAACAATTATCTAGTACTTTGGAGTTTGTACCACTTTCCTGGTTCATACGTAGCTGTTAAAGGACTGTAAAAGAAAACATCTTTTTTCATCACAACCAATCCTGATCCTCCTTCACTGAGGACCCACAAACACAAACACACCCACTCAAACTGCTGATAGAGTCCCTCATAAACACACCAGTAAGAGCCTGATATGAGCAGGTAAGATAATAATAACTGCACTGAATATCGCAGAAAACTGCAGTTTTTATATATATATATATATATATATATATATATATATATATGTATTTGTGTATATTTAATTGTTTGTGTTTGTGTGTTTACTGTGTGTTTGTTTTCATAGTTTTTCAGTACAATTATCCAGACTGTAGTAAAAGCAGAGAAGATCAGGACTAACTTAATTGTAATGTGTTTTTTTTGTTTTATAAAAGCTTCATGTTCCCAGATAGCAGACAGTCCTGGGCCGAATCTGGCTTTCCTATGTGAGCGACTACCGGTGCCGATGTTATGACTATGCGACTATGCGGGCCAAATGCTGTACAGCTTCATACGGTTTTGGCTTGTGTTTATATTTGTGGGCCAATTCTAACATGAAGGTTGTGGACCAACAATGTAGTTGGGCCACATTTGGACCAGATCCATTAGTTCTACTCACTTGTCTGTGGGTCAGATCTGGGCCAAGGACCCAGCTGTGTACTGGGCCAGAACAAAGGCAAGGATGTGGCCCACAAGTGGGCCAGACAAAGTTTGCTATCTGGGTTTCATTTTAAAAGCAAAAGTATTTCTTTTAAGTTCCTGAGGTTAAAATTAGGGTTAGAAATTTCTTATTATATTTAGATACATATACATGACTATATATAGATTACATATAGACACATACATACATTATTATTACACACAGGTACTTAAACATGTGGGTATTAGTACATGTAGATATGTACATATTTAATACAGATACTGTGTATGTATGACCAAGGTCCTGTGTGTATGTTTCAGTGTGTGTGTTTGTTTGTTTGTTTGTGTGTTTGTGTGATTACTGGGGTAAAACTGTGTGTGTTTTTTCTGAAGCAGTGTCTCGGTGCAGAAGCGGGCGTGTAACACAGCGACGTGTGTAACCCACCGACTGGCCGATTTTCTGAGCCGTTCGGGTGGGATGGGCAGCAGCAGCTTCGTTCCCACCAATGTAGGCTCCAAGGCTTTCGGCCGCCGCCGGAGAACAGGCAGCATGTGAGAATTACTGCAGGACCAGGGTGAATACACACACATACACACACACACACACACACACACACACACACACACACACACACACACACACACACACACACACACACACATAAACACACACACACACACACACACACACACACACACACACACACACACACACACAAACACACAGTAAATGTCCCTACGCCAACACTTATCTACACTTTTATTAACCCTTATGGAGCATAATTTCTGTCATTTCACTCAAATGTAATTACATAATTACATATTTAATTGCATAGTTAATTATGCAAATATATGCATTTATAGACAGATTCAGGTCAGTGCTGGAGTCAAAAAAATGACAAAAACAGGAAAAATGTTAAGGACTGTTTTTCTTTCGACAAAAAAGATTTCATACATATAAATAAATTTCAAATTCAAATCATAATAAAATATCTCCTCTTCTACTTTCAGTCACAAATATCAAAGATTGACAGTATAGAATCTGCAACAGTAATAATTGTGGAGTGATTTTAATCCAGTATGAATCTGCAGTGTGTAGTTTTACAGTCTACAGTAATAATTGTGGAGTGATTTTAATCCAGTATGAATCTGCAGTGTGTGTAGTTTTACAGTCTACAGTAATAATTGTGGAGAGATTTTAATCCAGTATGAATCTGCAGTGTGTGTAGTTTTACAGTAATAATTGTGGAGCGATTTTAATCCAGTATGAATCTGCAGTGTGTGTAGTTTTACAGTAATAATTGTGGAGAGATTTTAATCCAGTATGAATCTGCAGCGTTTGTAGTCTTCGAACGCGGCTCAGCCAATCAGATTTTGAAAATGGAACCGTTTCATAATGGGAGCTTTAGACCAGAACTACAGTATCTAAGCCCTTTAATGCTGAAATGTCTTAAAGCAGGTTTTTAGTTTTCATTTCCTAACTTGTGTAAATTTCTGTTTCAGAGGGTCCCCCCGGCCAGCGCTGCGTTACATCTACAACAACAACCGCAACAAACAACAATAGCAACAACAAACAGGCCCCGCCCCCTTCCCTTTGAACTCCAGTGTGTGTGAATCGCCCCACTGCTTCAGTCTGTGGCTTCTGGCAAACAGATCTCACGTTGACGGATCTCGCTAGGAATAATCAGCCGTATACAAAACAGGAATTTGATTTTTATATGAAAACAGTTTGAAATAAAAAGAAAAAAGCAGTTTGTTTGTTTGTTTATCCTTTCTTTTGATGATGAACGTGTGCTTTTTTACTCTTTAGATGCAGCACTGAGCTGAACTTCATCAGCTTCATTACTTCTGGATCGTTTTCATGACTGTGTGGTGCATCTAAAATGTAAAATAGTATACGAGGATATGATATATAAACATTGTAATAACTGTGAATTAAAGCAAGATTAAAATGTATTTTAGATACATTTGGATGGGAGTATTTCTGTTCTTTTTTATAGAAAAGTTGCTGAAATAATACTACCTTCAGTGTTTGGGTACTAATTAGTTACATATGATTGATTTAGGCTACGCTACCCTGCTCTGGTGTTTGTTTATTCGCAGAAACACAAAGCAGCAGTGATAAAAATAAGTGTTCATATTATCATCACTGATGAAGAAATTCAGGACCTTGAATGGCCGAAGTTTTCTTCCACACTTTCATAATCTAAGAACGGCTCAGCCAGTTTGAGCTGAAGTCCCTGTAGTTGCTGAATAATAAGTCTTAGTGTGTAATAAACCTGGTTAAAACAAGGGGTTAAAATCATGACTGAGACTGAAAACACAGACAGAGTCACTACAAACCTGTACACTACAGTAAACACACCAACTAAAAGGACAATAAAGATCAAAAATGTTATTTTTAGGTAATTCATTAATATCTTTCCTGAGTCTCTTTAGTTTAAACAGACTGTCCACTATGATTTTCTCCTCCTCACATGCCAACTCGCACAAGGAGCTGGAATCACACGACCACCGTCATTCATAAATTATGGTTCTCCAAGGGTTCTGTGGTAAAGGGAATGGTTAAATGTCCAGGGCCCGTAGTTTTACTACACACTTCTCCTAAGACTGGCTCGACCAGTTTGCATTGAAGTCTAACAGGTCTGTGACTTTAAGGGGTTACGATGACGTTAATTGAATTAAACCATTTTTAATGTACTTTAAGTAATATTGTTGAAAGAAGGTAATTATCCAAAGTGTTTAATCAGCCGAAGTCATTCAAGTTAAATAAAAGACAATGAACTGCTGCTGTCGGAAGAAAACCTTCTCCATTTTTGTCGTTTTTCAGTTTTTGACATAATTTGAAAATGCCTGTGACCCTTTACATTGTGTGTAAATTTCACGATGAATGGACCAAAAGAAACGATCGATCATTGGACTTACATTAAAAGTAAAGTATGTTTTCCCTTCTCCTGTGAAGTTATCATTTTGGTGACATGAGGTTTGTTCAGCCTCCTCCACCCGCTCTCACGAGACACACCCTCATATAATACTCAATAAACTAAGCCTGTTATGCTTAGAGGGCCCCTCTGATCTGAGTGAGGGGGACGTTTCTAATGACTTTTACTATTCAAAGATTTAATTGGCTCCTGGCTTCATTTATTTGTATATTAGGCTCATCTTTCCCTTGTTTCACTCATTATTTCTGTGTTGTCTTTCCTCATACACGCTTAAAAAAGAGGTTCTTTAGTAAAGAGAGTGGTTCCATATAGAACCATGAACACCCAAAAAACAAATGATTAAATGGTTCTTTGCATGGTGAAACGGTTCTTCAGACTGATGGAGAATGTGTTCTATATGGATTAATATATGCTACTATTTTGAAAACCAAACTTACATTCAATTAATAACAAAAAATCATTTTTTACTATATATTTGAGATTTTTTATCATCCAGAGATCCCAGTGGTCCGTCCCATATGGGCATGTATATTAATATATGTGAGATACAGTATATATACAAATATACTGTATATATATAATATAAAAACAGTATATATACAAATAAACTGTTTTATTCCAACATGTAGTTAAAACACTAAAGTACATTAAACAAAAATACATTTATTAACCATTTTCATACATTTTCAAATGTATTTAATAAATACGCCCTGAGGTGGAACCCTCAAGGGTCCATCTCAGTACCTTTAGTCAGGGAACATAACTGAACCATAATCCACTGAAATGATATGTTCTAAGCTGTACTAACTCCACACACCCCGTCTCGTCTCCAGGCTTTTATTTTACTGTTCTGTTTAAAACATTCGGTTATGAAAAGGTACAAATACGAACTTTTCACCTGGAAACACTTATTTAAGGTTCACAATCAGACCTTAAAACAACTGTTGGAGCTTTGAGGGAACATTTACACTGTTTGTACCTTGATGATGAAAAATGTGAGAACCTTCATTTCTAACAGTATATATATATATATATATATGGTTAATTCATGTTTACTGATCATTAATGATCACTATCATTACTGATATTTCTTCTTTCTCAAAGGAGTCATTTCTGTTTCAGAGCGCACAATAGGGGTTGGGATTATATTTATGATACGATATTTAATGATGGTTCTTCAAGGGGTTCTTTAGTAAAGACAATGGATCTATACAGAACCATGAACACTCAAAAGAACGATTTGCATGCTTAAATGGTTCTTTGCAGGGTGAAATGGCACTATATAGCACCAAAAAGTGCATTTTCAGTGCTACATAGAATCATTTTCAGAAAGGTTCTACATCAGACCATATACAACACATTCTCCATTAACCAGGAGAACCATTTCACCATGCAAAGAACGCTTTAAGCATGCAAATGGCTCTTGGAGTGTTCACGGTTCTATATAGGACCTCTGTCTGTACTAAAGAACCCTTGAATAACCATCTTTTTAAGAGTGCATGCTAGAGTGGATTGTTTAATTTAAGTCCACACTGAAGTTATAAGGTGCTATAAGCTTTGTGTGAGGCACAGCCAATCAGAACAGAGCTAATTTACATAAACCAGTCTTAATGATGCAGGAATACAACAGCCTGTTTAACTGTAAAGGACTGAAAGTGTTCATGAAGAAATGAATTATGGCTGTTTTGGGTACATAAACACACAACTGTTAGAAGAGGGCCTTGGGGCAGGTGGGGGGTGGGAGTGAGGGGGGGTATGTAGGATATGGGCCCTTTAAGTGCTGCTGATCAGACTGCGCTGAGGACTCTGAGGTGTTACACTAACATTACTCAACAGAGGGCGCTGTTTTTCTCAACAGCACGCCAGGAACATTTTTAGTACTGTCTTTACTGTCTATGGCTGCACTGCACAAATGATATTTTGGCAAGTAAAATCATCTTAATTCTAGTCAATATATCTAAAATCTCTCATTATGAGACTGCTTTAGAAATGTACAAATATATTTAGGAATAATTTGGCTTGTTTCTAGAATTACGGACAATTATTTCACCATAAGTTCATTAGAATCACTTAAAACAAGTAAAGATTTCCAGAAACAGTTTGGAATATTCTTACAGATGTTGTCCATATACGAACATGAGCAGTTCTCGAACTCAGATCCTCACTGTTCTAGATCCTGAGAGGCCTGGTCCCAGTATAAAGCACACTCTGCTGAGGTCCTGAGTGCATTAAGACGAGCAGAGTAATCTGAACCCGTACAGATGCTGAAGTATTGCTGTTTTAAAGCAGTAATGACACAAACATAATTAAAGGAGTCTAGAAAACCAACAGTGCAGTGGAACCGAGGTTTGTCCGGCTCTATTCCTCTATTTTTGGATCCTTTTCGTGTTAAATGAAACGCTAAAGCTCCAGAGTGAGAGATGAGATCAACAGTAAAGCAGTACAGGAGCTGAACCAACACAACAGAATAAAATTAAACCCCCAGAATAGAGAGAATTACAAACTACTGTAAACAAGTGACTGAGAACAGAGTGGATTACTTTTCACCTGAAGAACCCGTATTCTACAATGTTCTCACATTGAGCTTTTCCCCCTTAGAACGTCCACTTATAACGTTCGTGAGGTTTAAATACCAAAAACAGTTAGAATTCATTTTTAGCCTCTTGTTATCCTGTAAAATTAAACAGGCTGTTCCTGTTTTCTGTTCTCTGCCTTTAAGATTGATATATGTAAATGAGCTTTGTTCTGATTGGCTGTCCTGTATTGGGTCTCATTCAAAAAGTAGTTTAGGCTAAATGGGTGGGCTAGACTGCTGAATGGGTGGAGCTAAACTGATATAGGCTGAATGGGCGGGGCTAAATTGCTGTAGACTGAATGGTGGAGCTAAACTGCTGTAGACTGAATGGTGGAGCTAAACTGCTGTAGACTGAATGGTGGGGCTAAACTGCTGTAGCTGAATGGTGGGGCTAAACTGCTGTAGACTGAATGGTGGAGCTAAACTGCTGTAGACTGAATGGTGGAGCTAAACTGCTGTAGACTGAATGGTGGAGCTAAACTGCTGTAGACTGAATGGTGGGGCTAAACTGCTGTAGCTGAATGGTGGAGCTAAACTGCTGTAGACTGAATGGTGGGGCTAAACTGCTGTAGCTGAATGGTGGAGCTAAACTGCTGTAGACTGAATGGTGGGGCTAAACTGCTGTAGCTGAATGGTGGAGCTAAACTGCTGTAGACTGAATGGTGGAGCTAAACTGCTGTAGCTGAATGGTGGAGCTAAACTGCTGTAGCTGAATGGTGGGGCTAAACTGCTGTAGACTGAATGGTGGAGCTAAACTGCTGTAGCTGAATGGTGGAGCTAAACTGCTGTAGCTGAATGGTGGGGCTAAACTGCTGTAGACTGAATGGTGGAGCTAAACTGCTGTAGACTGAATGGTGGGGCTAAACTGCTGTAGCTGAATGGTGGAGCTAAACTGCTGTAGCTGAATGGTGGAGCTAAACTGCTGTAGACTGAATGGTGGGGCTAAACTGCTGTAGACTGAATGGTGGGGCTAAACTGCTGTAGACTGAATGGTGGAGCTAAACTGCTGTAGCTGAATGGTGGAGCTAAACTGCTGTAGACTGAATGGTGGAGCTAAACTGCTGTAGCTGAATGGTGGGGCTAAACTGCTGTAGCTGAATGGTGGAGCTAAACTGCTGTAGACTGAATGGTGGAGCTAAACTGCTGTAGACTGAATGGTGGGGCTAAACTGCTGTAGCTGAATGGTGGAGCTAAACTGCTGTAGACTGAATGGTGGAGCTAAATTGCTGTAGCTGAATGGTGGGGCTAAACTGCTGTAGGCTGAATGGGTGGAGCTAAACTGCTGT